TTATATTTCAAACAGACATACATAGGGATATAAAAAAAAAACTGCAGCATTGCGGAGTGGCTGAAATTCTGGATAGTTAATCTCTGCTTGTTTGTGAAGCTGGACATTAGTGATGGTAGAGATGGGCATTGATTTACAGCCTTCCTCGGCAGGGTTTATGGCCTGTGCCGTCCAACCTGTTAATCTAGCACAGTACATAAAGAGTGAAGAAGCTTCAGGATTTATATGACTGTCAGCTTTCAGGCCAGCCCCATCTGATAGCTGACACACAGGAAAATCGAGGGGAAAAGAACTCAAGCCAAAGCATGCATATCCCCTCTGATTAAATATTGGTACACTCTGCACTACGACTAAACAAAACTACTCCCAGCAGATTTAGACATACCATCATAAACAGAGATATTGCCTCAACATCCAGATTTCTTTCCCCTGGTGACAGTTTTCCAAATATAATTATATGAGATTCCCTTCTATACACTTTGATTATGAACGTGTGTGTATATTTAAAATGGAGTTTTAAGCACTCATGTGACCTAAAAAGATGCTATTCCTGTTTTCATTGAGCCAAAAACAGATGGACTCCATTTGCAAGAAGAAAACCGGTTTCCTGTACGAATGGATGAATTGCAAATACTCTGGCCTAAAAAGCTCACTTTACAAAAAAAATAAATAAAAAAATACAGCGACAAATGGACTTTGTAATTTCAGTCAGGTACCTCACGTTTGTAAAATTCATTGCATGAATAATATTCTATCTGTCTTTTTCTTATTTATCTAGTCTGATTTATTATGTATTTATATAAAGCAGAATTACATATATTTGTAAAAAGTGAGAAATGGTGTAAATGACGTAATGATAATAATAAAATGATATGATAAATGCACTTCAAAACAGAGAATAAAATAGTCACACCACCTGTTTATGCTAAACAGCTTTCAGTCGGAGTCCAAATAACTATGTACTGAAACAGTTTCTCAAAATTCTGATGATAAAAAATTCAAATCTGTAATAATTCATGACTAGGCTTTTCTGGGCATCTGCGTAATAATTATAATGACGATGTGAATCACACCTTGCGATCTGTTCATCACTGAGGAATGTGAATCATCCTGCACATTTAATAATAATTCTGCGTGGGCCTTTCCAGTTTTATCCTCGACATTTCCCCTGATGTGGCATGTCCACCACAGCTCTCAAAGTGACCTTTAAACATTTGATCTCCTCTCCTTCAGGGTCTGTACTGTCCAACCCGGCTCCTGGTGTATCTTCCCCTTTTAGCCAGTAGGTGTCGCTGGCCATCCTGTACCCCTCCGTCTTTGAATCCCTAGTGTGTTCATCTCTGTTCCTTGACCACTGAGTAGCTCATGGCTTGAGTGAGGCTTAGAAGCTGACATCCCTCCTGTTGCGTTCAAGGCTGGCTTTTGGCCTACGGCACCCTTTGTTTATTTTTGGCTTTTAGTCTATCGTTAGCTTTTGGTTTTCCCTTGTATCTTTTATGGTTTATCCTTGTGTCTTTGTTTGTGTGTTCTTTGGTTCTTAGTTATTCCTAGTGTTGTTAGCTTTTAGTGTTCAGTCTTTGTTGGAGATACCTTGTTTCGTGATTAGATTATTGTAATCCACCCCTGCTGATTCTAGTTAATCTGTGTCCCCTTTGATTGATAGAGTTCATTACAAGTTACACCTGTACTTTGTTTGCCCTGATTCTTTGTGTGTATTTAAGTGCCTGCTCTCACTCTGTTTGTTAGTTGATCTTTCTTGTGCCATGTTACAAGTCCTACTCCCTATGTTGTTCTGTTCCTTTAATAAACCCTGTTGTTGTCTTGGAGTTACCCATGGATCATCACCTCTTTTTCTGCCAGCATCATGCCCCGCTGTCATGACACTCTCTGTATTTAATGAAAGCGGGATAATTAATAAAGGGGCTCAACCTTAAAACGAAGTGTTGCTCTTAGAGCAACAGAGTAAACATATTCTTTGTAACCAATTTTAATTTCATTAACAGTTTGTGTAGTTTAACTTGTTAAAACTTTTCGCAAATGACCTCAACTGACCATCACTGAGGAGGAAAAACATTGAAAAATGGAAAACAATAAAAAACAAAGGACAGTTTGTTTAATACTATAGTACTATAGTATATTTGAGTATATAAAGCCCCTTGCCGTGTGTCAGGCTGACATAAAAAATGAACTGCTTGAAACTTTTTTCCATTATTTATGACCAATCCTCTGAGGTTGATGCAATAAAAAGACATTCACCTTGTTCTCGAGGCTGAGATCCAGTCACCAATCAGAACTGAACCCCTTTACCCTCAAAAGCATCTGATTGCTCATTGCTAGTACATTAAAGTGAAAAAATAAAGTAAAATGCAAATTACTTTTCCAGATATTACTGACAAATTCAACCTAGTTTCCTGGGACACCATAATAGTACACTTTATTCTGTTCAGAAAGATGATTACTATGATTACTGGCAAGTGACATTAATCAAAATCGTATTCATCAGAGGCTGTTTGTCCGTTGCACAGATATACTTCTCTGTATAGTACAGGTGCCTTAAATCGAGATTGAGAGTAGTAATCACAGTAGAGCACATATGTGACCCGTACGTGCATCATTACAGAGTCAGATGTATTCAGTGTGTGTGGTTATCCCTGGGTACACCTCCATCAACAGAAGGTCCTTTGATTGTGCATCTGTCTACAGCAGGGGTGGGATCCGGTTCTATGGAGGGCCACTGTGGGTGCAGGCTTTTGGGACAACCTCTCAATCAGCCAATAGCAGTGGGTCACCAGGACTGGAGTTGAGAAGCACTGCTTCCACAATCATGCCGTTTGTCTGATTGAGAGGTCATCCCACAAACCCGCACCGTCGTTGGCCCTCCATGGAACTGGTTCCACACCACTGGTCTACACCATTGCTTTGGACCTCTCATCCCATGCACCTACAGCACGCCATTTTCATTCAGTCTGAAGATACAGCTCTCAGAGCCTTATTCTGCGGGCGTGAAAGTGGCCCAGTGACATTTCTGAGAATTCCTTAAAAGCACTTTTATCATGTAGCATCTTCAGATGGAAGTTATTTTGGGTTTTGATTCAATTAGTGATGAATTAGATTTCCGTAATAGGCGCAGAGCATAAAGGACTCATTTTTGATTTCATTACTCCATTAGCCGCCTGCCTGGCTTTCAGAGTTAAGAGTTTTGTTTTTTTTAACTAGTGCAGATATGAATGAGGGCTTTAATTCTTTGTGAGTCACCAGATGACTCATCACTTTATGGTGAGCTGTAAGGACAGTGCAGGATTTTGTTTGATCTATGTAGGCAGGTGTGCATACATAAGCTCCATCGGAAAGCCCACATTGCACTATTGCACAGAATTTATCACGTACGTGGGCCATTATTTTTAAACTCAGTGTTAAAATGGTTTAGCTGCATTGTATGGAAATGTATTGCCAGACCACTATATTCATTATAATCTAGTGTCTGATTTCTAATTAAGATTACAAGAGGTGGTTTCTGTTCCACATAGTATTTATGGGTAATTTAAATTTTTATATTTGATTTCTAAATTTTTATACAAATAAAAGGTTTAAAAGGTAAGCTGCCGTTTACATTCCAAACCCATTATCAATAGATTAATGTGTCAAGTTTTTTTTTTTAAATGAGGGGAAAAAAATCAAACCCTTTCTTGAAATAATCCATTTTATTACTTACCACTCTCATATTGGCAGATTCCAGCAAGAAATGGGGATTTTTTGGGACATAATGCAACGGAGGGGTTTATTTAAGGATATAAGGAAATGTGTTCCAAGTTTAAGGATTAGGAATGAAACGTGCACTTCCTGCAGCCTGCATGCACAGAAATTTTAATTACAATTCCAGAGCAGCATGCAGAAAACGAGACATGTAATACAGTTACTATTTGCTAAAACATTAAAGTATAAAAAAGACAAGAAAGCCATTTCAACATGAGTCAAATGAATCAAATGATTCATTTAAGGGTAAATGGCCACATGATCTGGCACTCTGGGCATAACCCTGCACTGGGAGGCACATGTTCCAGGCCCCCCCGTGACCAGGATAAGCGGTTAGGAGATGGATGGATGGATGGATGGATGGTAAAATGACCAGAAGTCTTCCAAGGAGGAGTGGAGTGGCACCAGAGATTTTCTTTTGCTGGTGTTATGGGTTTGCGTGACTTTTCAGCGAGGCTGCTCTGAAATTTAGGGTTTCCCCTTAATGTGCCTGTCCTCACAACTGAATTTGTACTAAAACACCCCAACACGCATGCACAGATATGCGGGAACATATGAAGTACCCACTCCATGACAGTTACAGTGACATTCAGTCTTAAACACAAGGTGAGATATTAAATTATAGTATTCACACAATAAAAATTAAAAAAAAATCTTTAAAAAAACACAGACATTCCCATTGTACTGTAGCCATTTTGATAAGTGTTGTACATCACCTCATGTATACGGTTTTCAAATTAACACAGAATCAATTGTGCCACAATGGTTGTGCCAAACACGCTGTCATGTCTCACACAGATGAATGTACTTCATGGACATAAATGTTGATGTTGGATGGTAAGGAGCACATCGCCCTTCAGTTATCATTGGACGATAAATTATATATAAGGGGGTTAAGGACACACTGAGACCACTGGGCCCTTCACAGACCCACATGAAACACAGAACAGGAATGTATCCAAGAGAAAATCCGGAAACCAACAAAGAGAGTGATTTTCTGAATCTGAGTTCCATGCTGTGGATGACTCATCGCAATAACCATTGACGGAGTTAAAAGATGTTCCAAAGGGAATGAAATGTGCGTGTTTCACAGAGAGGATTAATCAAAAAACGAAAAATGAAAAGGAAAGGAATTGCTAAGGAAAGGAAAGGAATTGCTAATACAACTTCAGCGCTCAGCCTGGAACTTGATATGTGGAAATCATGTCCACAAGGAAAACGGAAGGTTCTCCGTCCGCTGCGCTTACCTGATTTCCCCACGCCAGCTCTGCCAAAAACAGCCAGCTTGATCTCTGCGCTCTTTGCCATGGCTGGCAGGCTCTACAGCCGAGGTCGTGGGCGAGTTGGCCGAGTCACAGAACCTACGATTCCCCTGGTGGATGTCTGCATGCAGACACGACGAGTTGTCAGCAATCCCTGGCACCAGGAAATCTGTCAGTTGATAAATAATTATACCTTACATCAGTACATTCAGACCCACGGTCAGGGCTTTAATCCAGAACATTCTTGTTCCAAAGAAACATAGCATTGGGCACTTTTTAGAGGTGTCGGTATGGCCAAGAAGGGAAGCCATCCTGTGGTCTGAGTGGAGTCTAATGCCCCAGTGCAGTGACTGGGATACTGTGGCCAAAAGAGAAGCCCATCCTTTGGTCTGTGGCCCCTTTTCCACTCCACTGGTGCCAGTGCTGGCACTGGGGCTGGTGCTCGGCTGGTGCTGAAGTTGGGAACCAACAAGAGCCGGCCTGCATTTCCACGGACTTGAGAGCCCAGTGGGAACCGGGTGACAACACTGCGCCACGTCACAAACCACGGCCACATCATCTTTATTTTGCATTGCCTCGGTTACTCCGCCCACCTCTCATGACGACACGGGTGCTTCATCCAGACCAGCAAAGGTTTGGTGCCGGTTTGGAGCCAATTTTGCAGCACAGGTGCCATTTTTCTGTGGAGAAAATGTGGCACTGGTTCGGCACCGGCACCTTTGCAGTGGAAAAGGGGTATGTGCGGATCCCAATGCCCCAGTACGGTGATGGGGACACTGTGCTGTAAAAATGGCACCATCCTATGGATGAGACATAAAAATGAGGTCCTAATTCTCTGAGGTCATAAAAGATCCCTGGGCATTTTTCAAAAGAGTAGGGGCGGTACCCTGATGCCCTGGCTAAAGCTGCTAACAGTGCCCCTTTCAAATCTGGCCTCCTAATCATCCCCTATATCTAACTGGTGAATTCTCTCCTGCCCCTTCACCACCTGAGCGACTGTGTGGTGAGTGTATTGGCACAGAATGGCTGCCATCACATCATCCAGGTGGGGGCTATGCAGTGGTGGTGGTTTAAATGGCTCCCTACTGGTTTAGTAAAGCGCTTTGTGAGTCATGAAAAGCACTATATAAATGTAACATTCATTCATTCATTATTCAATTCATTCATTCATTCAATCATTTCTTTTACATACTAGTACTATAGAGCTGAGGACGAGGGGGGCAGCTATGGTGGAAACTTCCTTCTTATGTTTTTCAATGTGTACCCCCACCCCACCCCACCCCACCCCACCACCAATAACAAAGTTTTTATCTTGGTATTTACATACTAGTGAAGACAAAACCACAATATTCAAGTAGCCCTTCTCTGCATTGTGTTTCTAATCACTGATATTTCCATTTAGTAGATAATAAGAATGTAACTTTTAGTATTTCTTATTGATATCGTGTCATTCAAGTCTCCTCATGACTGAAAATGTAATTCTCTCTGTAAGATTTACAACTGTGTTTGATTTCGGCTGCACTTAATTCTGTGACTCCCTCATGAGCAGGCAATATAAACACAATGCTAAAATATTCATTTAGAAACATCAGTGATTAAATTACCCTCTAAACAGCTGAACTCACCATAACTAATCTATAAAAAAACAAGCAAACTTAGACTCAAATATTACAAATATTATTGATACCCTAGTAGTAATTTATTGTAGTGTCTCAATAAAATTATCCCCAAGTCATTAAGGTGTTCAACCATAAAAATCTGGCACCAAGAGGACCTCTTATCGATGTTTTCATAGGAATGGTAAAGAACTTGCAGGGTTGGCCTTGAACTTCCTTTCAATTGTTCATGATCTGTAACTAAATATATTCAGGTTAATTTACGGCTGATATGAATTGCATCAGGCCTTATAAACTGAACAGTAAGGGTGATAATACGACCGGAGTCTCCGGCAGTGTGCTACTGATGTCGCTAAGGTCACTAAATGAGGCAACTGCACAAGGGCATTTGCTAAAAGAATTAAACACCACTCTATGTACTTAGGTAACTGCTGAAAGTGAAATTATTATGCACAGGACTGGAGACCCTAGTAGGCCCTCTGTCTGGGATGTCTTCCACCACAATCATATAACGGTTCTATGACCCCCCCCCCCCAAGCCCTTCTTGGCACTGGAACAAGTCAACGAGTGGGTGTCAGATCCAAGCTATTGGCTCTCTGCCAAGGAACTAGAAGTGACCCTAAAGTTCTAAAAGGAAATTTCTCATTTTCTCCACATTCAGCATCACCAAAAATATGCAAATACTGCTTTGGAAATACAGTATGCTTGGTTTGCTAATGGACAAAGCACTAGCCTAAATGTTAAGGGCAAACAACATTGTGGCAGGATTAAATGTGCTTCCTAGCTGCCAGTGTAAAATGGCCCACCTACAGCAGTGCATGTCAAGGTCATGTCCCCAGTCCAGAGAAAGCACATTACTGCAGCCTTTCAGTTTTTTGTTTTTTTTTAATCCATCTGACATCAAGAAATGGAGCAAATAAACAAACAACACCCAGCTGGAGCCCTGTGACCTTCTGTAGGATAAGGAACAGCTCAGACTTTCTCACAATAGCCACAGGTCACCACAAGCCAGTGTCCCATTCATTGTTTATAGCAGTGTTTCCCAACCTGGTCCTCGGGGGCCCACTGACAGTTCACGTTTTTGCTCCCTCCCAGCTCCCTGCCAGACAGTCCACGTTTTTGCTCCCTCCCAGCTCCCTGCCAGACAGTCCACATTTTTGCTTCCTCCCAGCTCCCTGCCAGACAGTCCACGTTTTTTCTCCCTCCCAGCTCCCTGCCAGACAGTCCACATTTTTGCTCCTTCCCAGCTCCCTGCCAGACAGTCCACATTTGAAAAATGGACTGGAATGGGAAACACTGGTGTATAGTTTTTCCATCATTTGGATGTGTTTCACTTTTATAAATGATTTTATGCGGATGGACTTTAGTGTGTGAAATGCAAGATCTTACACAGCTTCTGTTGGTAAAGTGTCAAGCTTTTGAGGATGCAAGGGTTAAGCGCCTGTTTGGGAAAGCTTCCTTAAATTACCCTAATTTAGTTAATTAGCCATTGAAAACAAGCTGTTTTTTCATACAGAGAAGCTTCATTAACTGATTAGCTTGTGTTCTATGGGTGGTTCTACGTAATGCAAAGAAAAGAAAATTTCATAACAGGAGTAGGTAGCATAGCAGATAGAGATATACTGTAGTGCAAAGGAGGCTCATAACTCAAATTTGGTAAAAATGCCTGTAACTGCATTTAAATAAATTTCTTAATATCCACTTTTTTCCTAGTGATTCAACAGCATGTGGTTAGCCATAGTCATTGCACAGGTTCCTCTTTTCTTAAGAGTCCATTTGTTGACATGGTCTTCAGGTCCCAGACACACTGCCCCCTACTTTCCACAATGTGTAGCGCAGTTATCAAGGACAAAGACGGTAGTTTGAAAGCTGTAGATTTAACTCTCAGGAGATCTTACTTTATTGCACTTATACATCCGTACTCCCGTAGAATTTCCAGCTGTGCCAAAGGGGGGAAATTTGTAAATTGTTGTGAATAAAAGCCAAGCAGCTGGAGGTAAAGTGATTATCTAAGAATTAATGCCAAGGTCTGTTCTTCCCCATTGCCCCCTGTGTATGACCCTGCACTTCTTACAGATACTACTCTTTAATGTGACACATTACTTGCTAGTTAAATAACTGGATTTTCTCGCACCTTCAGCTCTACATTTGACTAAAGGGAACACCAAGTAATGCAGCATAGCCTTGCTGACCCTTAGCCTCGAACAACGCGTCTTGTTCATACATAATAATTGGAAATTGAAATATACAAGCGAGTGCCTTTTCAGTCATGCCTAAATGAGTTATGACTGTTGAGTTATGGCAAAAGCTGCGAACCTTTGTGTCATGTTTATTTAGCAAACAGCTTACCGATCTTTGCTGTCACATAAAGCAGAATAATGAAAAGACCGCAGTATTTTAACATATCATGAGAATGTTTCTTTAAAAAATCTGGTCAGAGAAATCATTTATAGCTGTGCAATACGGATTGTAACTACTGGAGAAAATACAGGAGACGATAAATGTGCAATCACCTGTAAAAGCGTTTCAAAGGCACCATCTCTGCCAGCAGCCGATTAAAATTAGAGGCGTTACATCACGACAGAAAGCAGCCATTCAACAACAAGTTACCAAGTAGGACCCAGATGTGACAAAAGATGTCAGTATATGTATTCACAGTACTTTTAACAATAATTTCAACAACAACTGTTTTTAAAAACTTTCAAAGGTACAGAGCGATGCGCTTGAAAATCCATGTAGTAGGCACATGGAGTGTAGGAGCGTGAGAAGGATATCGGTATCGTTTTAAAATATGTATATATTTCAAATGTTGATACCAATACAAATGTATTATCTTTAGACCATGTGTGATGTTTACGTAAGGTCCGGTCATACATGCATGCCTGACCAGAAAGCCTAATATTTATGATAAAATTAGATTGTTCGTAACATAAATGTAACCAACACCAAAAACATAATTTCATTAGAGTTCATCTATCATTCTCAGCTAAGAATGAACGGCAGAATGGGGGTTGTCTTCTGTTCATGGTTACAACAAATGCAATTAAATCATTGGACAATAAAATAAACTTTTTCTCAAGAGGTTCTCAAAAGGTTAGTCTTTCGTTTTTTTCGTTATTTACGTAGGTGCACGACACCCAAAATGTCAATCAAGCAGAGAGAAATATGAACAGTACCAACGAACATAAGTAAAAACCTAAACGGATTAAAAGCAAATCACAACGTACAGACAATGATAACCTTGTACTATATTACACCATAATATTTTAACAAACCGCAATCAGCGAACTTTCCCATTTCAGTCAAAGTATCAACACATTTCATTATGATTAAACCAAAAACATGTTAATTAACAACGTAAATCGTTAACTTACCTAATAATATCTAGGAATGTAAAGGAATCCATAGATGTCGTGCAGCAGCCCCGTCCGATTAAAGTTCATCGGTATCATTCGGGCTGAGAGGATAAACAGGGTCTGACCTTCCCGAAAGCAGCCGCAAAGCGAGCGCTCCCTACGCGGCACACCTTTCATTAAGGTCCAACAGAGGAGCCGGGTCTACTCCGCAGGTCGGTCAATAGAAATACACGGAATGGAGTCCCCTCGAAATACACTGGGCGGGCCGCTGGGGATTGGAGATCAAGGCGCACTTTTACCAGCCGGTATCCCCATTCATTTCACCGCAGCATGTTCCTGCGAAAGAGAGCAAGAGCGCCCTCTTCTGAACCGCCTTGGGACGGAGCTTTTGTCAAGCTTGTAGGGATTCGTTTTCCGGAATGTACAAGAAAGTAAATAATTCTGTACAAAAAAATGTATATGATTTATATTGATTTAGATTCCTATTAGGCCTATAATGATCTGAGTAATACCAAACAACCTTTGTTACTAAGGTCAGAATCTTCACAGAGATATTCTACACTGCATGCAATTTACCATAAGAAATATAGGACTAATAATACATTTGATAATATATGTTTAATTGCATCGTTTTGATTAAATCTATTTAATGATTTTACTTATCACTTCTGTTCCTTTGTGTTTTATAAGCAAAAAAGAAGGGAAAAATTGCTAAAGCCTAATAAACTACTGTACAGATGCTGTATGGCCCAAGATTTCTTCCACCTTAATGAAACCAAATCAGACATTGTCGTTTTTAGCCCACTTGACTCCATTACACAGATCTCCAATAACCTAGATCAACTATCTTGCTTCATTAATCCATTTTTCAAAAACCTTGGATCTGCTCTCAAGTTTGACAAACAGGTTAATGCAGTTGTCAAATCCAGTTTCTTCCAGCTCAGAACCATCTCAAAAATTAAACCATTTCTCTCATCAAGTCACCATTAAATAGTCATCTATGCATTCATCACCTCAAGGCCTGATTTATTGCAACTCCCTGTACCCCAGAATCAACCAGTCATCCCTGTCCCCACCTTCAGCAAGGCTTCTCACTGGCTCCAGAAAAAGAGATCGCATAACCCTACTCTGGCCTCTCTTCACTGGTTCCCAGTCCACCTTGGGATCAGTTTTAAGGTCCTCCTGTTTGTCTTTTAAAGCCTTAAATGGCGTAGCCCCCTCATCCACTTCAGAACTCATATGTTCCTACACAGCCTCCAGGCCTCTCAGCTCATCAGAAATGGGTTTTCTCATAATCTCTCGTCCCAAACAGAAACTAAAAGGTGACATACATTCTTTGTTGTAGCCCCCAGAGTGTCTGCCTGTCTATGCTGACCTTGTACAGCGCTTTGGTCAACAAATGTTTAAAAATGCTTCATAAATACATTTCACTTTAAACTAGCACAGACCACTATGCAGTAGTACGTGGCATTTTTGGAGACAGCTTATTAGAATTCTTGTTCTTGTATTTCAGAATGAAGGTAAGAATTCCAATATACTACATGAATGTTTTATGAACCTCGGGCGCAATAATCATCAGTGTATAGGCTGAGGAAGTGGACACAATAAGATCAGCTTTATGTTAATGCTGAGGTCGCTGACATGAAGTCTGTATAGGGCCAATGAACCAGCAATCAACATGCAAGAAATGCTGCAGTTCAACCATATACTTCTTTTTCTCAATACACAGTTAATTTAATTGTCTTAAGAATTAAATTGAATATAAATATGAAGGTATTTTGGGTGGTATGGTAGCTGAATGAGCAGCACTGTTGCTACTCTCACGACTGAATAAAAGATTTTTTTGTCTATTCAAGCTTTTTGAAGACACCTTCCTGCCTCCACTTTCTAAGAAATGCTGAGAATGACTCCTTCCTCCATCCATCCCCTTGACTGAAGAATTTACTTTGAAGAATTTACATGGAGGCGGGTAGCGCAGTGGTAGGACAGCAGCCTCATGCCTGCGGGATTCTGCGGCGTCGTGTATCCATGGAGTTCCAACGACATTATTATCCAACGACATACCTAGCTTGTGTCTCTAAATTGGCAATAGTGTATGACAGTGCATGAACCTTGTAACGGATTAGCATCAAGTCCAGGATGTACTTCAGTCTAGACAACTCAGGGTTATAAGAAGTAAATGCTTCCCGAATCACGCAGTCTGACTGTACATAAATTTAATAACAATTAACAATAGCTTCAAACGAGAAGGCAGTAATAATAGAAGGAAGTGAATTAAGACGTTGCCAAGTATTTTAAAATCAAACGCTTCTTTTTCTGAAGCATTAAAAGCAAGCGCTTTGAAAATGTGGGGTCGTTTGCGGATTGTTGACTAATAAAAAGCGCGGGGTTTTAAAACAAAAGATATAAACCGAACCATTAACCACTACGTGGCAGTATAAGGTAAAATATTTTTAAACCCGAAACATTGCATGGATATTAAAATAGAGAAAACATGCATTTAAAATTAAAACGTCATTCACAGATGTGCTACATTTATTGAGAAATCGTTATTGTGTATTTTTGCCAACATAGCTACGAATGTAACAACTGTCAAAATGTTTACCAAAGATGTAAATCGGGCAACTGCAGGCACGTTATATAACCTGCATTGATTATTAACTAGGATATAGAATTTTATACAATCGTTCAATATTATACGATGAGTTCTACTTGCAGTATAATGCGATCATTTAAATCTGTAATGTTACAAGGGTAATATATACTGTTTAAATTACATTTGTCTGAGTTAATCTTAATATCAACAACACTGAATCCACAAGAGGAAATTAAAATGACGTCTTGTCAGGTCTACTGTCGAGCATATAAAACTGTTGCAGGTATTAAAGTCAATTTTAAGAAAAATATTATTAGAAAGGCAAAAAATCATAAGAACTGCCGGTTTTCAAAGCAATCATTGTTACTCCGAAACGGGGCCAGACCACGTCGGATGCGATTAATGCTATAGGCTGCTAGAAACAGGAATCAACCAATAGGCAGCCTGAGATTTCAGCCATGTGGACGCACAACAAAGCCGTGATTGGCTGCTTGGTGTTTCTGCCCAGCTGCCGGTAAATGCAGCTTCCTCGTCCCCCAGTATCGCTGCGATCGCTCTCCGCAGGCGGTGCGTCAACCGTGAGCACGGAACACGCGGACCGGAGCGATGTGGCGCGGATCGTACCGTGTAGGGTCTTTACTGCGGCCCGGTTTTCCCGTCCAGTTTTCCACTATCCTGTCTTAGTTCCCCGTGATCACTAAGTGCGGGTTCCAGCTTTTTGTATAAGTGACTCTGGGGAAATGGGTGGATGGACGCACTTTATTAATGAACTTCCCAAAGCAACTGGATGCTTAAGAGTAATTTAAATATGTCTCCCAGTAGATGAATCCAACCACTGAATTAATTTTCTATTACTAATACTTAAATATACACAACAGTCAATGGTAAATCGGCTCATCTGATTTTAACCCAAGATTCAATTGAATTTAAACGCGTCCCATATGTAAGTCTATAGACACGAGTCTATAGACATATTGTTACTGAATTTGAAAATATTATTTATCCTCTAACCTAATTCGAGGAATCCTTTGTACCCTGCGAGCATAAATCATTAGTCAGAATCATTTTTACTCACAACGCCTAGGGTTGCCAATGCGATAGCACATTTTATCGCTCATTAGGCAATCATGAAGAATTTAAAACACCAATACAAGTTCGCTATAAAGTGGGGAAAATTTTTTGATGTCTTGCGATATTACCTAGCTGGTGTCCCTTTTTATATTTTCTTAATGCATTAATATGAATGCTCTAAATTTCTAGAGCTGATAAGGCAACTGCCTAACTTACAGTACCATCTGTCCACGAGATTTAATAATTCCTTTGTATTTATTGTCCCCCATGGATATAGATCTACATGCAAATATGCGTAAAATGTGCTATCTATCATTCGCTTTTGCCTCGGTACTCATGTTTGTGATAAATATGTGCTTTACAAGTAAAACCTATACTCATGTTCTTTGTATGTAGCGTAGGGGTCCTCAAAATGTAAATGAATATAAACTTAAGTGTAAAATGATATTAACGATAAAATGTAATAAAGCAATCTTTTGAACTAGGAAACCTATGAAAGAATTGCAATGATTAATGATTTAATGAGCTGGATTTAGTCAGATCAGTTTGAAACACACTGCAGTGATGTGCAGGGCTGGACTGGGATTAAAAATCGGCCTCGGATTTTTGCCCATACAGGCCCACCACATGTACGTACACGCCTACGATACAATAGCTCGATCGGGGTTGTAATCCCTCCACGGTGAAATTTGCCGGCCCACAAACCCATCGGTCCACCGGGAAAAGGCCCGGTATGGCCAGTCCTGATGTGTATAACAGGGTTTGCGAAACACTAAAGCTGCACATCAATAGACTAGAACACCTCCCACCACGCGCCCGACGTGCACCGGCAGGTGCCTCGGTTCAGTTGCCATGGGAAACGGGGGCGTGACGGGAATGTCGGGGCGTGGCCACGAAGGGGCGGGGCCGCCGGTCTCCTCCGAAGAGTAATGAGGGATGCTGCCGGTGTCCGCTCTCTTCGCGGCGCTGATGTGACGGTACAGTCGCACTTGGCGAACCGGTAATCCATCTCTCTGAAGCAGACGATCAGGACGTGTCCATTGACACCGGAGTCCTTCGTCACTGGCGCATCGCTAGGATTTGCTACCGCTGCGCACTAAAACGATAAGCTGGCAGCTGTCTGATGCCGCAGAAAATCTCGCCATTGTTCCGATGAGCAACCCAGCAGCGCTGCTTTGAAGAGAGGCGCTAATTTCAATGTATTTCCGCGGGATCCTCGCATCAATGTTGCCTTGTGCGATATGCCTCCTATGCAGCATCCAGGTGAGAATCATTTTTTTTTCTGAATTATAAATGCAAGAGATTACACACTATCTGCCGGCCTCCCAAGTGTGGCTATTTATGCTTTGGACCTTTCGTAAAATTTGAGCTATTCTGGGTTTTTTTCAGCATGTCCTTTAATTAATCCGGGAAGAGACGAGCCTTATCTTTACGGCGTCATTGAAAATATTCATTCAAGCCAAATTTGGGTCGTTCTGATCATGTTTTCTTTGCAGCATTCCCCTTAAAACCCATTGGTTTATAATAATTCACTTTTATCACCACGCAGATAACCTTAAAACTACGATGACAATCTACAAAGGAATTCCTTGGTAAATAGCATCGCGCTGTTGCGCGGTTCTGAGTAACAAGTTACTATAAATGGCAATTACTCTAAAGTCTCCTTTCTAAACAAACATTTCCTCCCCTACATTGCAGTAATTAATTCATTTTGCTCATTTTTGTTGAAGTATAGAACTGAAAAAAATCTACTGTATGTTCACTGTTCAGCCAATATAGCTCCCTGAAAATCTATTTAAAGTCGCTATGAACCACAGTACTCTTATGTCTTAGGTAAATGTTTGACTTTACCATCTGAGTTTTTGATTCTTAAATTTAGATGTTTTTAAATTACGTACATTGAAGTAATTCTTCTCATTTTTTTGTATCAGCCTTAGAAGTTCATTAACTATGAAACATCAGATGTATAATTAGCTTGGACTCCATTAGGTATGCACAAATTTTGGCATTTTACTTTATTAGGCTATTTACTTACTGTATGAAATAGGCCAACCAGGTGATTGACTTCCAAGTAGTCCTAGTAGTCCTACTTTTATAATGAAGGTTATATTTGAGAATGCTTTCATTTCACGGATATCCAAACCTCTGGAATAGGATAATTGTCTAATCACGGTGGCAAGATTTTCTCTCATGTATTGAGGTTTATGGATAGATAAGGCACCAAATGGTCTGCTGTACAAGAGCTTAGTTGACACTTAAGCCTTTCAACTGTCAATTACTATCTTCAGGTCTCATACTGATACGGGCAAGCTCTGTTTGACAGGCATCTCTGATTGTATTGTGTCCTGTCTGTTAATAATCAGAGTCTGGGTCATAATGTCTCCTGCCAACCTTATTACTGGTACTATATGAGGCCAAAGCACCTCAGCATTCATGATCTGAAACGTCCAGGAGCGCAGTACCTCTGAATGTCATTCTCACCTGCAGAAACTCTTCATGTCAGAGTCTGATGTTGCTCTAGATTAATCACCCTTAGAAATATTTGCACCAATCTGGGTATATCAAATTTAATTGGAGCAAAACTTAGGAACTTTTAATTGGTCACATTTATGTAAAAATGTTAACATTCCCAAAATTGCCTTGTATCTTAGTTGGCTTTAGCTGTTGTGTGTCTATGCGTTACTCACCTGTGCAGAATAGGGGAACTTTCCCGTTTAACGTTTCACAGTGGCTGCCAAAATAGCGTAGAATATGGTGAAGATGAGTAATTTAATTCAGCAGGTAATGAATAACAATTAATGGAATTTAAATAACACCAGCAAAAGTGCTGGAATTATTGGTTTAATGTAAGTACTTTGTTAAGTCTGCATTAGAGTTTGAACAGACAACTCAGCAGGAAACTCAGTTTACTAATCCACTGGTTATAGCCTCAAGGTGTCCTCCACTACCAGACGTATTAGCTAAGAACATCTGGCTCACCGTGGGTTTGACCTGACAAATTCAAAACATAATTATGATCTGGGAACTCATCCGAGAATTTGTTCAAAGAAAGAGTTCACATCCGAAAGCATGTGGGTGGTACAAAGGCATGACGCGGATGAAGGTGATTTGTGGAAGAAGGTCGGTCTCAACCTCCTCAATATGCTCAAAGATGTATTTATGACACAAAATACCAGGGCTCTTTTCCTGTGGATTAGTGAAGTGAAACAAATGGTGAAATCTTAATGGTTAATAGTGGCTGAAAAAGTTAAGAAGCTGGTGTTGTACACTGACTTTAAATATTTCATGACATCACTTTTAAACTCTTTTTTTTGTTTGTTTTTTCTTTGAAGCACAATGTAAACATGACTTCCCATTTCCTAATCCATGGACAGAAAGACACAATGTTGATTAAAAGTCTTATTAGTTCAGGATAGTTAATAATTAGGGTAAGGATAATTAATAAAGGTTTCTGGATCTCCTGCACTTGAGTTTTTCAACAGAGGATGTAGATTTTACTGTTCTTAACTCAGGAATTAATCAAAGCTCATAAATCTGTCCCCACAGCACCTGTCGGTAATTATAGGTAACGACTGGCCACAAGTCATGACCCAAAGTGTAATGCATGCCAGTTTTGTAAGCCAGTTATTAAAATTTGAAATTGTCTTTCAGTAATTTATATTATACAGAAAAGCAATTAATAAATAGATTAGTATAAAAAAACACAAAACAATTAGCCTGATTTAAAAATTTTAAGTGATACCAGTTTATAATTTCCACCAGAGGAAGTTTAGCAATAAGATTTATGAAAACTTCCTTTCTTATGTGGTGTCCAGTGCGAAATGTGTCTATAAGAAGGAGAAGGTCTGTGGAAGCAGGATCAGCAGAAGCAGCCACAATGCTGGCTTCACTGGGCTGCTGATTAATGTGCTTTCTGAGAAAGGCTTTACTGACAATGGTCAACTGGCCATGATAATATGATAACATGCATTTTGCTGCCTGTAAATAGGTCAGGTCAGGTCAGGTCAATAGTAAATAGTCCCATAAAAATTCCCTTAATTAATAATAAATTTTAAGATAAACAAAACCACTTGTCCTCACATTATAAGGATGCTCTTTGGGTTTTGAAATGCCCTCATCGTTCTAATTTGGGTGTGTGTGTGTGTGTGTATATATATATATATATATATATATATATATATATATATATGTATATATATATATATAATTTTATTTATTTATTAAATTTTTTCCAAATCATTCACAAAATGTACTGATGCTGGTCATGAGCTCTTTGGCTTTATAATGGTGAAGCTCATTCTCTAATTTCACCAAAAGAATTCTTTTATGTAAGCATGTGGATTCATGTGCTATTTTTGATCCTTTTAATGGATGCTTCCTAGAAGGAAATCTTTTTTTTTTCTTTGGTTAAAACTGCTTTGTGGTAACCGATTAAGGCCTCATCACAATTATGAGTGAGATAAGAGTCTAATTCAGCTTCCTGTGTGTCCTCGTTAGGTTTCTATGAATGTTAACTCCGCAGTGTCTTTGTGGAGTGAGAAAACGGTGAGGGTCTATCAGTCTCTAACTGCTTGATGTTTTATTTCCATTATTTCCACCCCCCCCCACACCCCAGGCTACTGTCTAATTATTATGACCACAAAATATGAAGACCGAGTATGCCTCTCCTGACTTGCAGATACAATGAATCGTATTTAATATGATGCTGGCGCAAGTGAAGTGTTTTTTTTTTTTACGAAATAGCTGGCAGTGTACGGAAGCCTGGATCTTGGGCAATGCTCTTTGTGTTTTCGAAGAACTGTCCAATTCTGCAAGGTTAAAATGCTTTTTACACTTCCTGAAGGTTTCTAAGGTTAAAATGGAATTTTCCTGGCACAAGAAAACATCCACATCTTTCATTTAAACGAGTCACATTCATTTATATAATTGTTTTTGTGTGCTTGGTTCTAAAACATTCTGATTTGTAGATGTTAGAGATGGGATGGCTGGTGTACCAGGAAGTAGTGTGCTTTATCAAACTGCAGGCAGCGCAAGCCAAACTCATTCATGCACACAGATACCACACCCGTGATATCAGACGTGCTGAAAGACGTCCGTGTTTTAATGACCCACTGGGGGTGACTTGAAGATAAACAGTTGGTATCAGTGTCCAAACATGAGACTGACTGATGTTCATGAAAGGGCAGACAAGCGACACATTACAGCAGATGTAGACCCGCTACAATGATAAAAATCTCAGGGTACAGTGAAACATATTTTATTATATGCTTTTTAAAACAAGGGAAAATGTATATGTGCATGTCTTTGTGATTTTTTTTTAACAAATCATTCATCGGTGTCTAAGCACAGTGTCCTGCACAGTCTCCCCTACCTACTATCCTTTGTGAGGAATCTGTGATCCACTTCCCCAGTTTGTGATATCAAGCCAGCATCCCAAATTGGGAATACCCCCCCCCCCAAAAACACACGCACACACACACACATTCACATACACACACCCCACATTTTTACTGCAGCCTCAAAGCCCACCAGAACAGGAAGTCAGTTTATTGCGAGAAACACAGAAGATGTTGGCAAAGCATTAAAAAAATAAATAAAAGAACGGTTCTTTCTTCCATTGGTGAATGGGGCTTGTGAGACTGGTGGACACGGGACTTATGGGATTGCTCACCCTTTTTGGAATAGAACAGGGTGCGACGGAAGGGTACAGGGACGACATGTGAGGGGATCAGTGTGTGCTGGACGGGGGGGCCATCTGTAATGCGGGAGGCGGCAGTGCCAGAGCTGCGTTCTTCTCAACATGAGCGAGTCACGGATCCAGATCCTGAGGTCGCTGTCGACCGAACAGAGCCGCAGACTTCAACGCTGTGACCAAACTAAGGCTGCTTATGTTGGCAGAGAGCTAAACCCTTATCCAATTAAGCCATATAGCGGAGGACGCCTCTGCAGCCCAGGGCGAGGGAGGGATGCGGAGATTAAGGCAGAGCAATCTGCCAGCGTGCATTTACTGCGCTTTCGGCACACATGACAGGACTGCAGGGCCTTTAATGGGTCTTCCGAGGTTTGCGATTTTCCTGTCTGAAAATAAATGGAGCAGTCAGTTTGGGTAGCGGGAATATCACACAACGCATCCTGCTGTGTGAGATAATTCAGAATATTTGACATCTATAGTCTTTTATTGAATAAATGTGAGCAATTTGATAAACGAAAAAAAAAATTGGAAAGGACATCAAACGCAACATTTTACCACATCCAAAAGATCT